GATTGGCAGTACTGGGAAACTGCCTGGGGAAGGGGGTCACTCCTCATCAACAAGGATACCTGCCAAATGAATATTTGTATACCTAACCCTGATTGTATGCCACAGTTTTAAAATAAAAAATTTAAAGGTGGAAAAAAAAAAAACAAATAAAAAAAGAATGAGTGTGATGAAAGAATAAAGCAAAAAATGAGAGAAACAGATAGCAGAAAGAATAAAAAAGGGTAACTATGGAGCACAGAGTGCAAAATTAAGACTAAAGCACCACTTCTTGAGAACCATTAAATAAGTTAGAAAATAAAATAAAGATTGGTAAATTTCGTTAAATGCCTTTATAGTATCTAAGGCAGCTTTGGAGGTGATTGCATTTTTTTTTCTCCTTTTGCTAATCGAAGGGTTAATGTCATTAATAAACAAAAATATTTTACAAGCCAGGGAAAAGGTCATTAGAAAAATGAGGGGGAGACTATGAACCAGTTGGTAATATTAAAAATAACTACAAATGGCTGATAAACACATACACACAAACTCAAACTCATTTTAAATAGAGGCACATGACAAAAGTATTTAGTACCCATCAGAGTGGTAAAAATTAACAACTATAATATGTCAAAGTTATTGATGGAATAAGGAACCAAGTCATCTCAAATTGTCAGTGATGGTGTAAATTGCTGCAACTTCATTTAAGGGCATTTTGCCAATATCTATCAAATATTAATTGTACCAATTTTTTAACTGAGCAGTTACACTAGTGGGAATTTATCACACAGATATGTTTGCCCAACTCTGCAAATGCAAACGTTCAGTATCAATATGTTAATTGTACTATCATTTGAAATAGCAAAACTAAATACCTGCCACTCAATATTAAAAAAAAAAGAAGCAGTAGCAGTTGCAGAAAACTCTGTATGTTAATCAAGGAGATATGGGTTACAGGAATTACAGCACATTTGTACCATGAAATACAATGAGCACATTAAAAAGACATTATTGAAATGAAGGAGGGGATTCTTCAAAACATATTATTATTATTATTATTTTTGAGTTGGAGTCTCACTCTGTCACCCAGACTGGAGTGCAGTGGCCGCTCCCGGCCACCGCAGCCTCAACCTCCTGGGCTCCGGCAATCCTTCCGCCTCAGCCTTCCAGGTAGCCGGAATTACAGGCACGCGCTACCAAGCCCGGCAGACAAAACATATTATTAAGAAAAAAATGCGGCTGGGGTCAGTGGCTCAGCCTATAATCCCAGCACTTTGGGAGGCTGAGGCAAATGGATTGCCTGAGCCTGCCAGTTTGAGACCAGCCCTGGCAACTTGGAGAGATTAATTTATTAATTTTTTAACAAATAAAAAATTAGCTGGGCGTGGTAGTGTGCACCTGTAGTTCCAGTTACTTGGACGGCTGAGGCAGAAGGATCGCCAGAGCCCAGTAGGTCGATGCTAGGGTGGCCGTGAGTGTGCCACTGCACTCTAGCCTAGGCGCCAGGGTGAGACTCCACCTCAAAAAAAAAAGAAAAAGAAAAAAATGCAAGGCCAGAACAATGAGTGTAGGAAAATCCCATATATATTGAGAAACAAACAGAGAGAAACTCTCTATAGGCAATCATTTCTAGATCATGTGGGCTTCATTCTCCAAGAGACTGAAATGCATGCATGTTTTCCTAGTCACATGCTAGCTCAAACTAAGTTATTAGTCCAAATTGCCTTCATTTCCCCCCCTTGCGAGAGCCTACTAACTGGATTCCAACCCAACACTTCTCGCCACTTCTGCTCAGTGTATGCTCCAGCCATTCTGAGCATATGCAGTTCCTTGAATGAGCTGTGGTCCTCTTGGCATAAAGTCTCTTGCATACTCCCTTGCCTCTGTCTGGAACACCCCACTCCAATCCAACTCAGTTTTCCATTCTTCCTTAGGATTTTAGCACAATCATTTCTTCCTCCGAGAAACTCACATATTTTTGCACTTAATTGATAAGTGTGTGATTAATATCTATTTCCTTCCTAGACTATAAGCTCTAGGAAAGTTGTTGATGTGTTTATCACTGAATCCTCAACAAACCAACCAGCAAGTATTTCAATCTCTTTCTCTCTCTCTTCATTGATCAACTATTACTATCCATAACCCCAGCTGAGGCCTCTTAAGCAAAAGAAAAAATCCCAGTTAGACCCAGACCTTGAACTTCAGTTCTAAGAGCAGATAAACAGGTCTCAGAGAAGATGGGGTGACAGTCAGGTAGGATTCACAGATCTCATACCTGGGAAAAGAGATAGTCTAGCTATACTTTCCACATTGCATATGAGAAAGACAAAAATAAATGGCATAGCAACCATCCGTCCATCCGTTCATCCATCCACCCATCCATCCATAGATCCATCCTTTCTGTATTTGTATTAAAACATCTAAAAGAAATAACTAGCCATGACTAGTATGTAGGGATTGAGACTAAGGAAGAAATGGGGGTGGTTAGAGACTTGCTTTTTATTTTAAATATTTTAATTTGCATATGTACTAGGTATACCGAATAATTAAAAAATAATTTGTCATAGCAAAACTACTACTTTCTTGTTGATGACACGAGATCAAGTGTATTTGAACAATGTCTTCAGTCTGCAAAGCTAATTAATAGTATCTTAATATCCTGTCACTAGGACTATAATCATGTCTTTGAGGGACCTGTTCACTCACACAGTTCTCTTTTCTTGCCTACTCAATTCAGTTTGATTTCAAGTCTAAATAGATCTTCTCACAAGCATTCTTCTGCATGTTTGTATACTCATGCAAAGACCTCTTTTTTCCTCATGAATGGTGTTAGAAAATTCCCCCAGGAAATTCAGTCACATTGTCATAGCCTTTTCACAGAAAGGAACAATGTGTAAGAAACAGATTCTCTTGATTTGATTAATGAACAAAGAAAGGGATCTGTTTAACCTAATTCACCTTAGAGCACCTTTCCTTGATGGAACTGCCAGTTCCTACAACAATAATTCAAGAGGGTAAATTTTCAGCTATTAGGAAAGAATTCCCGAAATTAATAACGCAGATCACTCTTGGTCTCTATTTCCTTTTTTTTTTTTTTTTTTTGAGTTGGAGTCTCACTCTGCCGCCCAGACTGGAGTGCAGTGGTCACTTCCGGCCACTGCAGCCTCGACCTGCTGGGCTCCAGCGATCCTTCCGCCTCAGCCTTCCAAGCAGCTGGAACTACAGGTGCACGCTACCATGCCCGGCTAATTTTTTGATTTATTGTGGAGATGAGGTCTCGCCAAGTTGCCCAGGCAGGTCTCGAATCCGCGGGCTCAGGCAATCCACTCACCTCAGCCTGCCAAAGCGCGGGATTACAGGCTGAGCCACCGAGCCTGGCTCTTGGTCTCTATTTCAACTCAACCTACCGGCTAGTCCTTCTGGAAGACTTTTTAGTCTGGAGAATTATCTCAGCAATACTATGGGCCACACCAGATCTTTCCAACTCTATATGTGGCCACCAAATGTCCTTTCATTCATTAGATTTGGTTGAAGGGACGGGCTCTAGACCTTTAGATTTGGTTTCTAAACAGATGCAAGTCTGGACTTAGAATATAACCATAGAATTTCTGTGCAGAAGGAGTCCTATGGATTATAAGGAAAACAAAGTCTTTCTATGTTGTTTTCAGGTTTCCATAATTGTTATAGGAGAGAGATGACCTTATTGAAGCATTTATCACATTCTGCATTCTCATGTGTTGGATACTGTCCCAACTTCTGGAGTTGGAGATAAGCCATGAAGGTATCATTCACCTCTATTGCAAAGAAATCTCATTCAGACCATACCCAGTAGAACACTTGGCCATGGGGCAATGGCAAGAAGAGGAGAACATTTAACAGGGATCTGATCCTGTGAAAATCGATGCCCTCCTTTAGAGGACAGACTCCATACAATCATTCACCCTCAGTATAATTTACACACTTGGTGGAATTCCCCCTTAGTAGAATTAGAGTGTGCCACTTCTGATTGCAAAAGCCCAAGGATTAGTCACTTGGATAGAAAGAGTTTCTCTTACACAAGTGACCTCTGGAAAAGAAGTCAAGAGTACTTCCTAAGACTCTAACACCCTTCAACAAATATGTTTTGGAATTGATGAAATGGAGACATTACACTTACAATCCATGCACCCCTGACCTTTGTTATGGGAGTCAGTCTAGGGGTTACCTTGGGGAGGGAGACGGATTGTGAAGAGGCAAGAGCGAAGGAGTCTTGTGGGTGCTGGAAATGTACTCAATTTGGCCTGGCTGTGGCTCCACAGCTGTATACATATGTAAAAACTCACAGAGCCACACACTGATGATGCATGAATACACCTTGATTAGAACAAAACTTAAGAAAAGGCATGATTGTTTTCTGGGAAAGAAGGCTAGGGAACTCTGCATTGAAGAAAGGGCTTTTTAATAAGCAAAACACACAATCTGATTGTCATTCTGAGGTTTAGTAAGAATGTTGTGGTATAATGAAAATTCTATTACAAGTGATGCTTGGCAGATGTCTTAAAGATAGACCTCATTAAAAGCTGCAGGACAATGAGAATGTAATTTGAAATGCTGAATTTTTATTAATGATCGGAAAAAGACAACTGGTCACCAGACTGCTACTTGGGAGAATAAACCATGAAAACTTGTATAACAGAAATTTCTTTCCGACCTTGCCTTTGGGATTCCCCACTTATATTTAAAGAAGCATCAAAATTATTAAAGCATTACCGCAGAAAAATCAAATACCCTACAATTCACACACACACACGAGTGTACACACACACATATGGGGCATTTGTGTTTACTGAAGGAGCAGGGAGAAGCCGGGTGTGTTGTCACACACTCTAACGACTGGGGAATTGCTCTGTCCTTTTTCATCTAGCACATTCTGCCTTTAAATCCTAGAAATTCTGGATTACAGATTGTAAACATGGACCTTGCAAGGCTCTTGTCATTAAAACAGGTAACAATCCACACTTACTCTAAATAAGATAGAACTAAATAGCATCCATGATGGTTCCACAACAACAAACGTGTAAACCAAGTAGCCAACAATTACTATCAGTGGGAAACGGGCTGTGTGCCCAACTGGAACTGGCTTATGGATTTCCAGACAAAGCATCATGCGTGAACCCTGCCTTCCTCCCAGAATATTCTGTCCAATCCTAAATGCCAATTCCTACCACCAACTGGAGGTTCACATACCTCTTTCCACAGCCTATGGCTCCATCGCAGCTCATCTTCCTTTGCCCTTTACCTTCATGCTTCTCAGCCTAGAGAGCTTTGGTTCAAACCACCTCAACGCTACCCATCCAAACCCCAGCGCTCACCTCAACTCCCAAGGAGGAGGTTCCCGAGTCTCTTCTAGACAGAGCCTCTCCTGAGGCTCAAGCCTCCACTTTCACAGTCTGAAACTGAGCTCATGATCTCTTCACAGCCCACCTTGACCTTCTTCTCCCATTCTCAGTATCACAAACTCAAAACCCAAGCCAATGCCATGGCCAGATCATGTCTTTTCTGTCTCTAATACGTCTCTTCCTTCCATTTCTTCCTGCTTGCCCTGTCCTTGTCCTGCTTGCAAAGTGCCTAGACGATATTCAGGGGCCTCCTCCTCTCTGCCAACTGCCTACAGACTCTCCATTCATCTGCCCACCCTTCAGAGCTCCATACTGTTTGTTTCAAAACACAGATCTGACCACGGTCTTGCTCACAGCCTTCTACAGCTCCGCATTTCACATGGGATGAAAACCCCAACCCCTCATCTTGGAATTTAAGAGCATTTTCAAGGAGACTACAATCTCTTTTTCCAAACTTAACCTTCAAACCACGTTCTCACCCCTGTATGTCATATTTTGGTCATCTTTTCTGCATTTACCCCCAAACTCAAAATATCATCATACCTTTGCAAAAACAGCTCCTCTCAGGATGAATGCTCTCCTCTTCCATGTATACCTCAACATCAAGTTCAAGTGAGAGACAGTATAAGTCTGTAACAAGACACCAGAATTTGGCTTCAGATAACCTGGGTTCAAATCCTAGTATGTGTTGGCCACCATTTTCTTATCGTTAAATCTTAGGCAAAAACCTTAACCCTGACCCAAGAGTCTCAGCCTCTTCATATCTACACGAAGAGGACAATGACAGGATTTGTACTGAAGGACTGCAGAGAGGACTAAACATAGAATTAAAGCACAGAAAACACTTAATACAGACCTTGGTACTTGCTATGCGTTCATATTAGCTAATATTGCTATTGACCTTATCAACATCATCACCATTATTACCTACTTCAAGACGATTTTCCTGAAGTAGGTATTAATGCCTTCCTTCCCTTATCTTCCCACAGTGTCCATGGCTCTATTGATAATATCTATTGATGTTTACCAAAATATGACACATATAATAGTTACTAATGACAGCCTAATGTCCCAGGGAGGAATAGTTCTTAGCACACAACTACATCTTTTTAGAATAGGCACACATGTACAGATGGGTTTTCAAGAGTTGGGTTTTCATGTTCTCACTCATAAGTGGACCTTGAGCCACTATCCTAATACTATAAGAAAAGGATGGACAGTAGTGGGAAACTGCGGGGGTGTGGGGAGTGGTGGGGAGGTGGGATTGGCAGTAGTGAGAAACTGCCTGGGGAACGGGGGCACACCTCATCAATAAGGGTACCTGCACAATGAATATTTGTATACCTAACCTTGAATTGTACCCCACAATTTTAAAATAAAAAATTTAAAGGTGAACAAAAAATTCATTTCTTTTTATCTTAGAGTTGTGCGTTCCTATGAGGATTTGCTACAAAAATAAACTGCGTGCTGAGAAGGTTGGGCTTCTAGTGAGCCCTCTTCTTCTGGTAGTGGGCATGGTTACCTGATGGGTGGACACGCAGCCCCATCTGAATCATGAGGAGTGATGGTTGCCTACCCAACGCTTTGTATTTTTTCCTTAGTTATACCATCATTCATTCACATCTTTCAAATCTACAATCACTTAGGCCTGCAACCTGGACAGAATGTTAGAGTTCTCACCTCCTCACTACTAGCTGAATCTTGCAGAATCTTACTCATTTTATAACCCGACTCTCTCTGGCCCAGTTGGCATTGCTCTGGTAAATTGTTGCTCACCAAGATTCTTAGAACTGTTACTAACTAGTCTAATCCAAGTGGCCACCCCAAACAACACCTGAGATCATCCTTGAGAGCACCCACCACACTGAAATTGCCTGCATAGCCATCTGTAT